ATTTGTTACCCCGCCACCATCTCCCCAACTTGGAGCGGCTTACATGAGGCCAAGCCCAAATGACAATTACAATAAAGAAAACCAAAAACACAAACCGAAAACGCGAACAATAAACAATAACATCATAATTAAATAAAACACACAAATACATAACAATATGAAAAATAAAAAATAAAAAAGAGAGAAGGAAGGAAGGAAGGAGAGAATGAAAGAAAAGAAGGGAAGAGAAGGAAGGAAAGAGAGAAGGAAGGAGAGAAAGAAAGGAGGAGAGAAAGAAGGAGGAAAGGTTGGCCACAGCAACACGTGGCGGGTACAATGATCATAGAATCATTGAGTTGGAAGAGATCTCGTGGGCTATCCAGTCCAACCCCCTGAGAAGAAGCAGGGAAATCCCATTCAAAGCACCCCCAACAGATGGCCATCCAATCTCAAATTAAAAGCCACCTCATAGCACTTTGATACTACTTCACCCACTGTGATTGCATCCGACATAATCCTGGTTATGATAGTTTGGTGAGGCATTGAGTCTCTCTAGAAGCAAATTCTAAACACTTCACAAAACCCCAGGACTCCATAGAAGGAACTCATGGCAGCGAAAGTGCTATAATTGGGCAGGAAATCTAAAGAGTGAAGTAGTGTGTGTCAAGATATGTGTAGTTTTCTGTCCCTGTGAGAACTGGATTTTGAAAAATGTGGCTTGTTGTAGAAACAGAGATTGGAGCTAAAGCCACAATGGAGACACCTTTTCCCGATGACAACTCTTCCAGGAATTAATTTAATTTCCTTTCCTGGGGGTAGATTTCTCTCTCTTCCTGTCGTCTCACTTCCTTCCTTAACTATGAGTCGTTTGTAAGTCAGATGTTTGTAACTACTTAATAGAATCAGGGCTTTATATCCGAAAAACATCTGACATATGTAAATTTATGAAAGTCAACTCTTTCACATTCCCAGTTTCTAATTGCTTCTCCCCTCCATTCAGAAGTTAAGTTGTTTTCAAGAAATGGCTTTATGGAAGGATCTTTTCCGATTAGAAAATGTTGACCATTTCCGCTACCTTGGCAGCCATCTCTCTACCAAAGTCAACATCGACACCGAAATACAACACCGCCTGAGCTCTGTGAGCGCAGCATTTTTCCGAATGAAGCAGAGAGTGTTTGAGGACCGGGACATCCGTAGGGATACCAAGGTGCTTGTTTATAAAGCTATTGTCATCCCAACCCTGCTATATGCCTGCGAGACGTGGACAGTCTACAGACGTCACATGCAACTCCTGGAACGATTCCATCAGCGCTGCCTCTGGAAAATCCTGCAAATCTCTTGGGAAGACAGGTGGACAAACATCAGCGTGCTGGAAGGAGCAAAGACCACCAGCATTGAAGTGGTGGTCCTCCGCCATCAACTCCGCTGGACTGGCCACGTTGTCCGGATGCCCAACCACTGTCTCCCAAAGCAGTTGCTCTACTCAGAACTCAAGAACGGAAAACGGAATGTGGGTGGACAGGAAAAGAGATTTAAAGATGTGCTCAAAGCCAAACTTTAAAACTGTGGCATAGACACTGAGAACTGGGAAGCCCTGGCCCTTGAGCGCTCCAGCTGGAGGTCAGTTGTGACCAGCAGTGCTGCAGAATTTGAAAAGGCACGAATGGGGGGCGAAAGAGAGAAACATGCAAAGAGGAAGGCGCATCAAGCCAACCCCAACCGGGACCGCCTTCCACCTGGAAACCAGTGCCCTCACTGCGGGAGAAGATGCAGGTCAAGAATAGGGCTCCACAGCCACCTACAGACTCACAAGAATTCTGATCCTGGAAGACTATCCTGCTCGGCCAATGAGGGAAAGCCTAAGTAAGTAAAGTACCGGTAAGTATTCCGATGCTTTTGTTGTTTGACCTTAGAAGACAACTGCCATGTTTTTAGCAGCTGCTCCTCAGAAGGAGTGGACACTCTTAACTGGTTACACAAAATGCTGAGATGGTGTCGTAAGGAAGCCACCACAATCTGGTGCCTTTCAGGTATGTAGGGGCCACGGTGGTGCAAGGGATTAAACTGTTGAACTGTTGAATCTGCTGACATAAAGGTTGGCAGTTCAAAGCCACAGGTGGGGGTGAGCTCCTGCTGTTAGCCATAGCTCCTGCCAACCTAGCAGTTTAAAAACTTACAAATGTGGGTAGATCAATAGGTACCGCCGGGAAGGTAATAAAGGCACCCATACAGCCATGCCTTGGACTGCAAGAAGATCCAACCGGTCCATACTTCAGGAAATAAAGCCCGACTGCTCATTGGAGGGAAGGATAGTAGAGGCAAAGATTAAGTACTTTGGCCACATCATGAGAAGAAAGGAAAGCTAGAGAAGACAATGATGCTGGGGAAAATGGAAGGAAAAAGGAAGAGGGGCCGACCAAGGGCAAAATGGATGGATGGGATCCTTGAAGTGACTGGATTGACCTTGAAGGAGCTGGGGGTGGTGACGGCTGACAGGGAGCTCTAGTGTAGCAGGTCCATGAGGTCACAAAGAGTCAGAAACGACTGAACGAATGAACCACAACAAAACAGCCATGCCGTCAACATGACCAGGAGGTATCTATGGACAACAGGCTCCTTGACTTGGAAATGGAACAAGAGCACCTCCCCATGGCCAGAGTTGAGCATCGCCTCCAGAAGCCAAAGATGAAAGGGGGAGCCTTTACCTTGGTTCTGTGTATTTGTGTCATTGTTATTTCACTGTATTAAAAGGCACTGAATTTTTGCCTATCTGTGTATATTATAATCTGCTCTGAGTCTCCTTGGGGAGATAGAGCGGAATGTAAATAAAGTGTTGTTATTATATTATATATTATTGAAATTCCCATCATCCTAAGTATGTCTCTGGGTGGCAGCAGTCTGAGATATGTGGATAATACCAGGTTGAAAGAGACTGGGGCCCCTTCTACACTGTTCTTATATCCCATAGCTTCCTCCCCCCATATGGAGTCTCCTGAAAGTATTATTTGTGATGGAAAACCACCTTAGTATGATCTTTTGTTTTCTTCACTACAGGGTTTTTGAACAGAGGCTGAATGGTCACTGATCAGAGATGCTTTAGTTGGACTGGCAAGAGGTTGGATGTCCAACTCCAGTAGTCTATTGTTCACTTGCACCCGGAAGACACAATTAAATACTGCAGTTATAAGAATAAGCAAATGTAGAATCATAGAATCACCGAGTTGGAAGAGACCTCACGGGCTACCCCTTCCAAGAAGCAGGAAAACTGCATTCAAAGCACCCCCAACAGATGGCCATCCAGCCTCTGCTTAAAAGCTTCCAAAGAAGGAGCCTCCACCACACTCCAGGGCAGAGAGTTCCACTGCTGAACAGCTCTCACAGTCAGGAAGTTCTTCCTCATGTTCCTCATCCAGCCTTAAGAGTGTTTAGGTTGCACCACTTGAACTACCATGGCAGGCATGTACCCCCCCCCCCCCCCCGAAATTCTCATGGTGGTCCACGAGAAGGCCTTACTGGTACATTATTTAAACTGTTACGTTTATTCATATCATGATCTGATCACCATGCTCAATATATCCCATATGCATGGGGTATTGGGATAACGATACAAAAGGTTTGCTAGGGTAGATCCTCACCCCCCCCCCCACCACCACCTTTGAATCAAACTCAGCCACCCCCGCCCCCCGAATCAAACTCAGCCCTGTACCATGGACAAAGAGTTTCATCTATGCTGATGATCGTGCCATTACCACTCAAGCAGGGAGCTTTGAGATGGTTGAACAGAAGCTATCCATAGCTCTAGGTGCTCTTACTGCCTATTACAGGGAAAACCAGCTGATTCCTAATCCATCTAAAACACAGACATGTGCTTTTCATCTCAAGAACAGACAAGCATCCTGAGCTCTGAGGATTACCTGGGAAGGAATCCCACTGGAGCATTGCAGCACACAAATACCTGGGAGTCACTCTGGACCGTGCTCTGACCTACAAGAAGCACTGCCTGAATATCAAGCAAAAAGTGGGTGCTAGAAACAATATCATACGAAAGCTGACTGGCACAACCTGGGGATCACAACCAGACACAGTGAAGACATCCGCCCTTGCGCTATGCTACTCTGCTGCTGAGTATGCATGCCCAGTGTGGAACACATCTCACCACACTAAAACAGTGGATGTGGCTCTTAATGAGACATGCCTCATTATCACGGGGTGTCTGCGCCCCACACCACTGGAGAAATTACACTGCTTAGCCGGTATTGCACCACCTGACATCCGCCGGGAAGTAGCAGCCAATAGTGAAAGGACCAAGGCAGAGACATCTCCAGCTCATCCCCTGTTTGGGTATCAGCCAGCACGCCAACGACTTAAATCAAGAAATAGTTTTCTAAGATCTACAGAGACACTTGGTGGAAACTCAGCAAGCGAGAGTCCAAAAGTGGCAGGCTCAAACCCAGAACCTCAACTAATGGCTGATACCAAATGAGAGACTCCCTCTTGGGCACACAGAAAACTGGGCAAACAGGAAGGCGAACAGGATGCCCCAATTGGAGGCACAATGCTGGGCACTCTGGCCTGGAAGTGAGTTCCAGCTCTAAGGATTCCACAGCATTGAGTCCTGGCAGTGCAAGAGGGGCGACGCTGCGTTGATCCATCCTGGCAGAGGCCCAAAAGATCCCTCCCCCCCTCCCTTTGCCTTGTAACCCAGGTGCCACCTTGTTTGCAGGTAAGGCAGGTGAGTCCTCCCCGCCTCCGGAAAGCCTTGGGGCCCTTTGTATCCAACGTGGAGGAGGGATTCTCCCGCCTCGCGTGGAAACCAGGTGTGTAAAGGGGGTGTCAAGGCACCCCACCGCCCTGCTCTTGGGTTGGCAGCGTTTCCCTTCTCCGATCTAGAGAAGAGAGGGCCCAGCTGAGCTGGCTTCCCCTCTGAGGCCAGGTAGGGCTTGCTCTCTCTCTCTCCCCCTCCCTCCTTTCCTTCCTTTCTTCCTTCCCACCCGGGAACCGCCCCACGGAGCGAGACTCACGGCTCGGGTGGAGCGCCGGCGCCGCGACGCGCGTTGGAACATGGCCGGGCAGGGCGGCGGGTCGGGTGCCTTTGCCTTTGCCTTCCCGAAGGAGCCCAGGAGGAGGAGGAGGAAGAGGAGGAAGAAGAGGAGGAGGAGGGGCTGGCTCCCGTCCCCACCCCCTCCCTCCCAACCCCGCCCCCTCCCTGCCCCGGGAAGCTTCCCTTCCCTCCTCCTCTTTCTCCCTCTCTTACTCTTCCTCCTTCTCTTTCTTCTCTTGTCTTCATCGTCCTCCTTTTCCTCTTTCCCCTTCTCTTCTTCCTCCTTTCTCCTCTTTCCCCTTCCTCCTTCTTTTTCTCCTTCTCTTTATCTTCCTCCTCTTCCGCCTTCTCTTTTTCCTTCTCCTTTAACGCTTTCGCCTTGTCTTCATTGTCCTCCTTTCTCCTTCTCTTCTTCCTCCTTTCTCCTCTTTTCTCTTCCTCCTTCTTTTTCTCCTTCTCTTTATCTTCCCCCTCTTCCTCCTTCTTTTCCTCTTCTGCCTTCTCTTTATCCTTCTTTAACGCTTCCTCCTCTTTCACCTTGTCTTCATCGTCCTCCTTTTTCTCTTTCTCTTCTTCCTCCTTCCTCCTCTTTTCCCTTTCTCCTTCTTTTTCTCTTCCTCCTTCTCTTTATCCTTCTCCTTTAACGCTTTCTCCTCTTTCACCTTGTCTTTATCATCCTCCCTTTCCTCTTTCTCCTTCTCTTCTTCTTCTTCCTCCTTTCTCCACTTTTCTCGTCTTCCTTCTTTTTCTCTTTATCTTCCTCCTCTTCCTCCTTCTTTTCCTCTTCCGCCTTCTCTTTATCCTTCTCCTTTAACTCTTTCTCCTCATCTTTTTTCTCCTTCTCCTCCCCTTCTTCCTCCTCCCCCTCTTTCTCCTCCTTTACCTCTTTTCTTCTCCCTCCTCTGCTTCTTCCTTCTTTTTCTTCATTCCTTTCCTCCTCTTCCTCTTCCTGTTTTTCCTTTTTTTTTCTTACTCTTCCCCCTTCCTTTCCTCTTATTCTCCTTCTCTTCCTCTTTTTCCTTTTCTTCTTTCTCTTCCTTCTTCCTTTCCTCTTCTTCTCCTTCTCTTCCTCCACTTCCTCTTTTTCCTTTTCCTCTTTCTCTTCTCTGAGGATGTCCTTGCTCCTTTCCTTATACCATGATGGGAGTGTCTTTGGTCCTTTCCTTACACTATGGGGATGAATTTGGTCCTTTCCTTACACCAGGGTTTCTCAACCTGGGGGTCGGGACCCCTGTGGGGGTCGCGAGGGTGTATCTGAGGGGTCACCAAAGACCATTAGAAAACACAGTATTTTCTGTTGGTCATAGGGGTTTTGTGTGGGAAGTTTGGCACAATTCTATCATTGGTGGGGTTCAGAATGCTCTTTGATTGTAGGTGAACTATAAATCCCAGCAACTACAGCTCCCATATGTCAAGTTCTATTTTTTCCCAAACTCCACCAGTGTTCACATTTGGACATATGGAGTATCCGTGTCAAGTTTGGTCCAGATCCATCATTCTTTGAGTCCACAGTGCTCTCTGGATGTAGGTGAACTACAACTCCAAAACTCAAGGTCAATGCCCACCAAACCCATCCAATATTTTCTATTGGTCATGGGAGTTGTGTATGCCAGGTTTGGTTCCATTTCATCATTGGTGGAGTTCAGAATGCTCTTTGATTATGGGTGGACTATCAATCCCAGCAACTACAACTCCCAAAATCAATTCGTCTGAACCCCACCAGTATTCAAATTTGGTCGTATTGGGTATTTGTGCCAAATTTGGTCCAGTGAATGAAAATACATCCTGCATATTTACATTACAGTTCATAACAGTAGCAAAATCACAGTTGTAAAGTTGCAACAAAAAATAATGTTATGGTTGGGGGTCACCACAACATGAGGAACGGTATTAAGGGGTCACGGCATTAGGAAGGTTGAGAAACACTGCCTTACACTGTGAGGATGTCCTTGCTCCTTTCCTTACACCATGATGAGGGTGTCTTTGGTCCTTTCCTTACACCATGGGGATGTCTTTGGTCCTTTCCTTACACTGTGAGGATGTCCTTGCTCCTTTCTTTACACCATGATGAGGGTGTCATTGGTCCTTTCCTTACACCATGAGGATGTCTTTCCTCCTTTCTTTACACCTTGATGAGGGTGTCTTTGGTCCTTTCCTTACACCATGAGGATGTCTTTGGTCCTTTCCTTACACTATGAGGATGTCTTTGCTCCTTTCCTTACACCACGAGAATGTCTTCGCTCCTTTCTTTACACCATGAGGATGTCTTTCCTCCTTTCTTTACACCTTGATGAGGGTGTCTTTGGTCCTTTCCTTACACCATGAGGATGTCTTTGGTCCTTTCCTTACACCATGAGGATGTTTTTGGTCCTTTCCTTACACCATGAGGATGTCTTTGCTCCTTTCTTTACACCATGATGAGGGTGTCTTTGGTCCTTTCCTTACACCATGAGGATGTCTTTGCTCCTTTCTTTACACCATGATGAGGGTGTCTTTGGTCCTTTCCTTACACCATGAGGATGTCTTTGCTCCTTTCTTTACACCATGATGAGGATCTCTTTGGTCCTTTCGTTACAGCATGAGGATGTCTTTGCTCCTTTCTTTACACCATGATGAAGATCTCTTTGGTCCTTTCCTTACAGCATGAGGATGTCTTTCCTCTTTTCTTTACACCATGATGAGGGTATCTTTGGTCCTTTCCTTACACCATGAGGATGTCTTTGCTCCTTTCTTTACGCCATGATGAGGGAGTCTTTGGTTTCTTTCCTTACACCATGAGGATATCCTTGGTATTTTCTTTATACCGCGAGGATGTCTTTGGTCCATCAGTGGTCTGCAAGTCACCAAGTGAGAGAGGGTTAGACTTCCAAACAACAGGCTTGGCGCACCCGTTGCTGCCATTGTTTTAGTCCGCCCTCCATATGCACAGATTCTGCATTCATGCATTCAACTATCCATGGTTTAAAAGTGTTACAAAAAAAAAAAAAAATCCAAAATGCAAACTCTGATTTTATTTAAGAGAGACCTTTTTACTACACCATTGTATATAACGGGATAAGCATCCATGGATTTTGGTTTCCTGGAACCAACCACAATAAATATTAAGGGGCCACTGTCCTTATACACTATAGTGCCCTCACCAAACATGGCACTTTGTAAGTTAATAATAATAATATAATAATAATAATAATAATAATCCTTTATTTATACCCCACTACCATCTCCCGAAGGACTCGGTGCGGCTTACAAGAGGCCGAGGCCAAATACATCAGTAAAAAGGCAACAACAGCAATACAGAAAATAAATAAACTTATAAATAAAGCAATAAACAGTAACAATAACACCACGATGCATTAAAAACCAATGGCAGGGCCAAATGTAATAATTAAAAATTTAAAAATGCTGGGCATGAAAAGGTGACATATAACTAGGATAGGTATTTGGAGAGAGATGGAGTGAGCAGACAATCCTAGATCATTAGTAAAGTGCGATTAGGGACATGTTGATTAGGGTTTCCTTATTCTGGGAAGGCACATTGGAACAACCACGTTTTCAGGCTCCTCTTAAAGACTGCCAGAGTTGGGGCATGCCTAATGTACTTGGGGAGCGAGTTCCAGAGTCGAGGGGCCGCCACCGAGAAGGCCCTATCCCTCATCCTCACCAATCACGCTTGTGAAGGACCAAGGCAGAGACATCTCCAGCTCATCCCCTGTTTGGGTATCAGCCAGCACATCAATGACTTAAATCTAGACATAGTTTTCTAAGATCTACAGAGACACTCGCTGGAACACCTCAGCAAGCGAGAGTCCAAAAGTGGCAGGCTCAAACCCAGAACCTCAACCAATGGCTGATACCAAATGAGAGACTCCCCCCTGGGCACACAGAAGACTGGGCGACTTGGAAGGTGCTGAACAGACTGCGCTCTGGCACCACGAGATGCAGAGCCAACCTTCAGAAATGGGGCTACAAAGTGGAATCCACGACATGCGAGTGTGGAGAGCAAACCACTGACCACCTGCTGCAATGCAACCTGAGCCCTGCCACATGCACAATGGAGGACCTTCTTGCAGCAACACCAGAGGCACTCCAAGTGGCCAGATACTGGTCAAAGGACATTTAACCAACTACCAAACTCACAATTTTTGTATTTTGTCTGTTTGTTTGCTTTGCTCTGTTAGAAATGTAATATAATTGACTGGTTGCCCTGACATGACAAATAAATAAATAAATGTATAGTTGGACTGATATATCCTCTCCGGATGATCAAAGGGATCGTGTGGGTTCGTATATGGAGATGCGGTTACGCAGGTAGGGGGGTCCCAAACCGTTCAGAGCTTTGTAGGTAAGAACCTGCACCTTGAATTGGGTCGGAAAATGAATGGCAGCCAATGGAGCTCCTTAAACAGGAGGGTTGACCGCTCCCTGTAAGGAGCACCAGTTAACAACCTGGCTGCCGCCCGTTGAACCAGTTGAAATTTCCGGGCCGTTTTCAAGGGTAGCCTCACGTAGAGTGCATTACAGTAATCCAATCTGGAGCTGACTAAGGCTTGGACCACCCTGGCCAGATCCGCCTTCACGAAGTACGGTCGCAGTTGGCGCACGAGTCTTAGTTGTGCAAAGGCCCTCCCGGCCACCGCCGACGCCTGAGCTTCAAGCGTAAGTGATGAATCCAGGAGAACACCCAAACTGCGAACCAACTGCAAACTGCTAGTTCGCAATCCCCATTCTTATAACCTAATTGTTCCCATGTTGCAGACAGAATGCATCCGACGAGAACAAAGGCAAGATGTCAATCGGGGCATCTGGAGACAGCCCCATGGAACACGCAGTGGAATCCCAATTGTGTCACATAAGAGGGTCATACCCAGGATAATAGGATTACATACTCAGGCAATCTATTAAGCTATCTCTGGTCTCCCGTGTGACCCTTGCCACATCTGGATTACAGATAATCACCGTGATATACCTTACAGGGCTGTTGTACAAAATAACAAGGCAGTCTGTGTACAATGTCTTTGAAGATATTGGTGCATAGCATGCAGTAGAGCACGTGGTTTTCCATTGAAGCCTGTTCTGCTCTCTCGTTTTTTCTTCCTTTCTCACGCAGCCCATGTC